GATCCCGGAAAAGTCGGGGCATGTTAACTCATCGTGATCTCGAGGGATTCGGGATTTGTTGGAGAGACCTCTGGAGTTAGTTACGCGGGAGTCAGTTACGTGGCACTTCGAGTTATTGGTTACGAACTGGTACTTTGGTCTTTTAGTTCCGAACTAGCTTGGATACCGAGGTGCCTCGATGCCGAGGTGAGACTTGCGACGAGGTGGCCCTGTTCCAAGGTGAGCCTTGAGCCAAGGCGGCCTTTGTGTCGAGGTGACTAAATATGCAAGCTCAATTGTTGCAAACTGAGCTTGTCAGGCTGAGTTGTCATCTATGGTTAGGTCGTGTCCACGTGTCCCCTTTTTACTAGGTCGGGCCAAATCACCCTTCATCATTACTGATGCTAGGTTCACTCAAAGATCCTTATATTACTCACTATTCACCTACAGAGCCCTCAAGTATCACTTTATTGCTGCTTTATGTTGATGATATTCTCATAACTGGAGATGACCAAGAAGGTATCCATCAACTAAAGCAACTTCTTAGTCAAGCCTTCAAAATGAATGATTAGGGACTGGTGACATTTTTTCTTTTTCTTTTCTTTTTTAGAGGTAAAGACCGATGACATATTTTCCAAGCCTGAAAGTTCATCATAATTCAATTATCAAAAAAAAAAAGTTCATCATAATTCCAGTGGCTACTTTCTTAATCAGCAGAAGTATGCCACTGACTTGGTCAAGCTTGCCCATCTTACCAACACTAAGATAGTTGATACACCTTTGGAAATTAATCTTAAGCTAAGCAAGGATGATGGTCCACTCTCAGAAGATGCTACTCTTTATCGTCAACTTGTAAGGAGTCTTATTTACCTCACAATGACACGCCCAGGCATCTCTTATGCTATCCAAATTGTAATCTAGCTTGTTTCTACACCCCATCAATCCCACATGACAGCAATACACCATACCATCTGATATGTTAGGGGTAATGCTTCTTATGGTGTGTTCTTTCCATCCTATTGATCTCTCAAATCATTAGCTTATGTATATGCCGACTAGACTGGTTGCCCAGATGCTAGACGGTCCAATGCAAGGTGGTGCATCTTTCTAGGTGAGTCTCTTATTTCCTAGAAATGTAAGAAGCAGCAAACAGTTTCTAAGTCATCTACTGAAACAGAATATTGAGCCATGTCTTCAGCATGCAATGAAATCATTTGGCCATGCCCCTTACTTCTCTCCCAACGGACCACCCAACCCAAAATGTTGGATGATCCAACCACACATTTTCAAACTTGAAAGGTCTAGGTCTCGAGATCACCACAAATTTCCTTAATATGATTGGTTTATGGTCTGATATAAAAAAAAAAATAAGTAAGTGCTTCCTGAACCAACTCCCAAACATTCATCTCCCAATCTCCTGAAAAAGGAAATCTGTCAAGCCTTCTCAATATTGGTGGGAGGAAGGCTGATTGAAAATAATGAGTTTTCAATCAACCTTCTTAAATTACATATGTTTCAAGGTTGGATGGTTCAACTATAAAATTTTGGGAAGATGATTGGGTAGGGATTGGTAAATTTTGTCATCTTTGCCCATGGTTGTATGGTTTAAGTAGGAAGAATGTGTCTATTGAAAAGAGTTTTGAAGTAATCCAAGGAAAAGTAGTATGGTGTCTGAAGTTTAAAAGTTYTCTGCTGGATGGGGAGATTGGGGAATGTGAATTTGTTATCAAAATTGCAATTGGTAGAGTTGCAAGTAGAAAGAAGAGATGTAAGATGGTGAAAATCCAAGAATGGTGTCTTCTCTGTCAAATCTTTTCACAATGCTCTTATAAGGAATCAAGTGGAGAAATCAGAGGTGAAGGGAGTTTTTGTAAAATCTTACTCCACCTAGGGTAGAAGCACACTTTGAGAGCTTTACTTGTACCCTATTGTATAGTCTCTGGTATACATGGGCGTTTTGTAATTAGAAATACTTCTGAATGAATCACATTATACTTTGCCTTTTCAAAAAGTAAGTTATAGATATTGATGTAAGATGTCCAGACACTATGGCGCTCATAACCTACTTAATGACTTATCTGTTGAAAAACAAAGCAAGCAACTTCATCCATTATCAAACAGTTCCTTGGACAACTAGGTTGTTGAAATGGGAAGCCAATGCATTTCTGTTGCATCATGCTACTGTTGCCATGCATATCATCAAAAGTCACCTCAGCTTGAAGCAACGGTAAGCAAGGGGAAATCATGAAGAGACTCTTTGGAAGTACAGGAAAGAACATAAAATGATTAAATTGATGACAAGGGGTATGTTAGTCACAGTGTATTGGATTCAGAGATCAACTAACTCTATGGCTGATGGTCTAGCTAAACAAGGGGGAAACTGTTCAACCACACTTTTCCCCTGAATAAACAAAGCCAAAACCATAAATAGATATTTCTTGATATACAGATAAACATCTACAAAGATAACCACTCAGATTGGCCAACTTTCATAAAGACTTCAAGGTCATAAATGGGTAATTCCACATAATCACAAGTAGTGGCAGAAGAGCAGAACTTTGAAAAATCAGATAGGACCAACCCCACCCCCCAAGAAAATAAGAAAAAACCTAACTTGAAGAAAACACCAACCACAATGGCAAAACCTAACAAAAGAAAAAAAAGAAAACACCAACCAAATCAATGGAAAACACCGCCAGTGATTTAAATTCAGAGCTGAGATCTACAACAGTACAACCCAGCCAAAATGCATTCCCCTGACTCCAGATTTTCCTCCAGATACCTAATCCAGCAGTATCTCCCCCAGCCCCCCTCTCATTCCATTGTCCTGAAATACTTCCAATAAGAGTTGCTTCACCCTTAAACCCTCACCCCCCTAATCTCTGCACTTCGGAAATAAGATCAACTTTAACTCCTTAGTAAGTAATAAGTTGTTCATGCCCATTGCTCCAATTCAAATAATTTTGGCATTCATCTAAACTCTCTGGCATCACCAAGGAACTAGACACTGCCAGGTTGCATATTTAGAAATAAAATAGATGTATTTGTTTTAGGTTAAGTTCAGACATTATACTTCAAGAACAATCAATCAATACTCCAATCAAGCAGTTGGAAGCCTTTGAACTTGGTCTTAAACATATTTGACTCGTACCCTAGGCCATAGAAACTACCAAAGAAGGCTCCGGGCAGATCACATGCTGATAAGTTGGAAGCCAACTCTAAACCATTGGTGTATATATGATTTCATTGCTTTTAAAAACAAATGAGAAACCTCTCACACTATATTCCTAGACAAAAATGTGTCTCCCTAAGGAAGTTGGTGGGCTGGGAATAAGAAATCTGGAGAAATTTAATTCTGCCCTTCTCAGTAAATGGTTATGGAGATTTTCTACTTATAGTAATGCATGGTGGAGAAACCTTATTGCGGCGAAGTATGGGGTGGAGTGGTGTGATTGGAGATCTAAGGATCCTCATTCAAGAGGGGACAGATCTCTCTGGGCAGGCATATTGAAGAATTTTCCTATCCTCTTGGATGGGATCAGACTTAAGGTGGGTAAAGGGGATAGAATTAAGTTTTGGAAGGATCCCTGGTGTTCAGAGCTCCTTGGCAGATGCTTTCCCCCTCCTTTTCCAAATCTCTGTGAATCAAGACTCTTTAGTAGCTGAGAATTTTAATGTTTCTGGTGATTTCATTATTTGGACTCCTCCTTGTAGGAGAAGTTTGTTTGATTGGGAGGTGGAAGAGTATGTGGCGCTGTTGGGGCTGCTGCAAAATCGGATGATAGATTTGAGTCAGGAGGATGAATGAAGCTGGAAATGGAATGCAGAATGTTGTTTCTCTGTTAAATCCCTGGTTCTTAAGCTGTACAGGTCAGGTCAGGTGGATTTCCCTGCCAGTCAGATTTGGAATCCAACTAGTCCCTCCAAGATTAATTTTCTGGTTTGGACAATGGCTCTTGATAAATGTCTGACTACAGTTAATCTGGAGAGATGTGGCATTCAGATTCTGGATCATTCTTGTGGTTTGTGTGGAACTCTTGCAGAATCTATACACCATTTGTGTATCCACTGCCCAGTTTCTTCTATGGTCTGGGGGCATTTTCTAAAGGCTTTGGAGATTAGTTTGGTTATGCCAAAATCAGTGAATGTTGAACTGTTGGAGAATTGAGGGCCTCAGCAAGAAAGGAAAGCTTGTATGGAGTACCATTCCGGCAGCTGTGTTATAGTCCATTTGGACTGAGAGAAACAACAGAATTTTCTATAGTAAATTTAAAAGCCCAGATGAAGTAGTGCAGAGAGCTGTGGGCAAGTTATTCTCTTGGGTGTCGGTAACTGAGGAGTTCAAACATCAGAATCTGTCTCTTTTGTTTTGTTCTCAGTCCTGGATGAGTTTGTAATTTGATTTGTGCCCAGGCAGTTTTAGTGGTCTGGGTTTTGATGTACTAATCATCTTTTTCTGTGCTGAATAAATTACTTTACCTTTTTCCAAAAAAAACATTCATAGACAAAAATTAATGGATTGAAATCTAATTAAAAATATTTCAATATCTGTTAAAACTTCAGTAACCACAGAATCTTATATTGCTTGTATGGTGAACCTTTGCTTGTTAATTGATCAACTCCCCATTGGATCAAGGCATTGCCCATTTAATAAAGAATCCCACACAAAAGAACCCTTATTAGAAAATATCTTGATCAGAGTAGCTCATTGGGTCAAAATATGGCATTTTGTAGCAAACCTTACTTCAGCAAGGAGAGAAATTTCACTACTTCAGCTAGGGGTGAATTGAGGATGATTACTAGAGAATCTATTCTCTAATATTGTGCAAAAAACAAATAATGGGATTTAGTGGGTAAGGTAGTAAAGGCTATCTACAGACAAAAGGGTGCTTGGCACATCCTCTTTGTGCATATGTTACATCATTATCACTAATTAATAAGGTGGACAGTTAGCAATCAAATGAACAGCAGACATTATATGTAAATAGACAAAGGTCAAAAATAAATAAATAAACTAAGACCTGATCGCGGTGGCTCTCAATAACATTAAGACGGGACTTCATTTCCAACCCATACAGTTGTGTTACCATCTTTTGTTCGACACAAATAGACTTTATGCCGAGCTCCCATCCCACCGAAGCCCTTCCGGTTTTCCCACCTAGCGCCCGGGCCAAGACCTGTGCGTTTTTAGATTTCCAGATTCAGAAGTAAGGGAATAAAAATTGCACAAGTGAGAAGTGACGATGAAATAAAGTTATGAAGTTATGATTAAATAGTATACCTGGTGACCGAAGCATATCCCTAGAAGCTTCTTCTTATTTGAATGCAAGAGTTTGAGGATATCACATAGGTAGATTATCCAGGGAACGTCATTGGCATGAGCATCGGCACTACTTCCGGTGATGACGAAGCCATCATAAGAATCGATATTGGTTTCAAAGGAGAAGTCATCATCGATGACGTTAAAGATGTCCCAGCGTTCGTCATCCCCGTCTCTTAGGAGGCATTCCAGCATTTTACCATAGCCACCGTAGATACGCTCGGTGTACTCGGTTGCATGCCCCGTCCTCAGCACTGCAAAACGCCGCTGCCCACTCATCCTTTCATGGCCTTTAATTGCCCCTTTTACAGTTGAAGGTGTGGAACTGTTGCAGCGAATGAGCTGCCTATGCGAAGATATTTGTTCATTGGGTACAGGGAAATATGTGATTTTAGGCGGGAACGAGTAGCCAAGTACGCGCACGGTTTCCATTGCTGATCAGGCGGGCTCGACTCACGACCTAAACTTCTCACAAAGTAGATTTTAAAGAGGCGTCGTAAGCTTAAGCATTATTACTAAGCAAGCCGTCGACTCCTCGACCGCATCTAAGGTTTGTATAACGATGTAGCGCGATGTAGCTGCTCCCCGCCAGAGGTGACGGGTTTCTAGTCAGACGACGGACAAGGTTGATCTGCAAGGAGATGATAAGAGAATCCAGTGAGGTCGCTTAGATGCTTAAAATTAGTATACTTGTTGTGATCCGAAATAGCTTGAAAATATAGAGAGCTAGAGAGCAGAAAAATCACTCGTACCTTGTGCCCTCGGGGTTGGAGCCTTTAAATAATGAAGTTATCGCGGGTTCTGCAGAGTAGTTCTAGGATCCTCGTTACGACGAGATCTGTTTCCGCGTTAATTGGGGGATAACGTTGCCAACTAATAAGGCTTATCTATTCCACCCAAACCAAGCGGGGAGGAAGATAAGGCTTGTCGTTACGAGGCATGATCTCGTAAGGTTTAGAATCTGATGGCGAGTTTTTCGGGGTCGTCAAGTAGTGGTCTGAGTCGGTATCCCCGAACTAATGCTCTTCAATCCCGAACTGGAGTGAACCCCAAAGTGCCTTGGGACCGAGGTGGTCCTGATGCGACCTTGTACCGAGGTGACCCATGCTGAGGTGGTTTGATTATCCGAGTTTGACCTGTTGCGGCCTTGGTATGTTGGGTTGAGCTGTCATCTATTAGTCAGGTCGTGTCCACGTGTCCCCCTATTGCTAGGTCAGGCCAAATCACCCTTCATTAGAAGGGGAGAAAATAGTTGTTGATGCTCAATGCCGAGGCGAGGAAGAAGATGAATGAGTCCAGGTGGATTTGACACGAGGTCTAGGCGGTCTGTCGAGCGGATCAGCCAATCTAAACTTTCGAACATTCGGTTTAACCAGCAGTAGCCCANGGCCTTGGTATGTTGGGTTGAGCTGTCATCTATTAGTCAGGTCGTGTCCACGTGTCCCCCTATTGCTAGGTCAGGCCAAATCACCCTTCATCAATTGCCCCCCACTCTCCGAGCCGATGGTCCCGACCCGATGTGGGGAGTTCATGACGAGTCCAGGTGGATTTGACACGAGGTCTAGGCGGTCTGTCGAGCGGATCAGCCAATCTAAACTTTCGAACATTCGGTTTAACCAGCAGTAGCCCAGGTCGCGTTGGGTGTACGTGCAGACGTCACACTATTTATGGACTCCGCGGATGTAAAAAACGCGATCAACAGATTTCGTCCTTGGACGTCGTGCAACCGGTTTTCATGAGAACTGTTGGATCAAGCATATCTCATCCGTTAATCACCTCGCGGTGAACTATAAATAAGGGGTCGAGAGACCCCTCTTCTTCACCAAAAATTATGTGATTGAGCTCTCCCGAGGTCGCATCGGAGTCTTTCAGCTCGCTTTCTTTGTATTCCGAGGTTGCTCGAGCTCGATGTCAGCCGCTAGCTTGGCTTTTCCCTTGAGGGCGGCAACGTAGCACTTGCGAGACTCGAACTGGTCGCCTTGCACAACCCCTACTCCATAGTCCGTCGGGAACTTCATGGCCAAATAGTAGGTGGACACTACCGCGCGTAGTGCGTGGATAATAGGCTGACCTACTATGGCGTTGTACAGGGAGGGAGTCGCGACCACTAGAAATGTGTGTTCGAACCTTGCAATGTTGGGCCACGTGCCGAACTCTATGGGTACTGAGACTCGCCCTAGAAGTCTGACCTCTTCGCCGCTGAAACCTACCAGGGGAGTATTTGTCAACTTGAGATCGCTTTCTTGGAGCTGGAGCTTGTCGTAGGCGTCCTTGAACAAAATATCGGACGAACTGCCTGAATCCACTAAGACGCACTTGACTTCAAAGTCGTTTATCCTCAGCTTTATTATCAGTGCATCGTCGTGGGGGTACTGGATCCCGCGCGCATTATCTTTTGTGAAGTAAATGGGATCTTCGAGCCTGGGTCGCTTCAGGGGATTCCGCTCTTCATGCTCTTGTTCGCGGACTGAAGCTTTACTCGCTGCTGAGGTGCAGCCCACGATGATCGACCCACCAGTAATCATGTTGATTACTCCGCRGATCGGCCTTTCTTCTGGTAACTGCCTCTGTGGCTGCTCATTCTGTCTCCTACTGGACTTCGGAGCATTTCTTCTTTGCTCCTCCTGCCGATTTGCTTGGTTCTTATTTTCTTCTTGTATGAAATTTTTTAGGTATTCGCGATGGATGAGTTCTTCGATCTTGTCACGGAGGTTTCTACAAATTTTGTTACTATGACCGTGATCTTTGTGAAAGTGACAATACACGTTCCTCTTTGTGGCGGGGTCCTCCCTCAACTAAGGTGGCCACTTGACATAGGAGGAGTCTTTGATTGCCATAAGGATTTCTCCTCTCTTCGCGTTGAGAGGTGTGTAGCTTGTCCGTTCAACTGGCGGAGTTTGGGAATGCCGACCTGACCTGTGAGATTGTGAAGATCGGCTCCCAGACTTGTTTCCTCCCCTAGTTGGGGAGTTGCTCTTTCTTTGCTTGCTGCCACCGTTACCCGCGCTGTCACCTTCTCTTTTCCTCTTTTCTGCTGGATTCTCGGTCTTTTGATTCATCTCTTCCTCGGTTCTGATGAATTGATCGGAGAGAGTGAGGAATTCCGTGATGTCCTTCGGCTTATTGGCCACCACATGCCACTTAAATTCTCTGTGTGTTATACCTTTCTTCGCCGACGTGAGCCTCACTGCTGGATCTAGATTGGGGATCTGCAAGCAGGTGTCGTTGAAGCGTTTGATATATCTTATAATTGACTCCCCTTCTCTTTGAACTATGTTTATGAGGCTTTCTTGGAACCTCGGACACTTCTTACTGGTGATGAAGTGCGAGGTGAACAAGTTTACGAACTGCGCCCAACTTCTGATCGTCCTTGGCGCGAGGTTCCTGTACCACGTGCGAACTACTCCGTTAAATGTTGTGGAGAAGGCTACAGACATGTAGGACTCGTCAGCCCCAGCTAGGTGCATTTGGGACCGGAAGGAGTTTACATGATCATTTGGATCGAAGGATCCGTTGTACTTGTCTAGAGGAGGCATTTTAAAATCTTTTGGCATTGAGGCCGCCAAGAGCTCAGAGGATAGAGGAGACGACCCGGACAGGAGAGGAGCAGTCTTAGCGGCTGCCGAGCTCACCTCTTCTTTACCTTTTGCTTGCTCTAGCTGGTTGGGCCCGACGAGTTGACTATGAGTTGTAGTTCGGTGTGCCTTGCAACGCCTTCGTTGCTGCTTCTTGATCAGCTCCGCATTAGTGTTGTTGACTTCTATATGATCGGGTATCATCCTAGTGCGGAGTGGCTATGGGTGTTGAGGCTCTCTACCATGAATAGAAGGGCCTTGCTTTGAGTCCGCGGCCAGGGGCCCGAACCGGTTGCCTACGAGTGAGTCCTCTTGATAAGAAGGTCGAGGTAACATGGCCCTGGTGGGCTAGGTATCTCTTGATCTGTTCAAGTTCTACGAAGCGGGCGGAGTGATCTGCCCATCCCTCCTACCGCGGGATGAGACCTGGCTCCCAAGAGGAAGTGGGACCTGGGAGGTCTCGCCTCGGTGGGGAGGGCGGGTGCCCTGCTAACGGGGTTGATTCTGCTACATTGCCGGGTGTTGAGGCAGAATCGGCTGCTGACTCTGCTACAGCGGAGGGAACTRTTGCTGGTAGAAATGATGGAGGGCTCGTTGTTGATAGTGCTGAAACTGCTAGACCTATTGCATTTGGACCTGGATGGCCCAAACGCAATGTATCAGGTTGTCAAGTTGGGATTGCTCGACTCCAAGGGGAACCACTGATGGTTCAGCGAATGTCGCACCGACTACATGAGGGAGTGGCGCGTTCACTTGTGCAATCGCTTGGGGCATGGTCAGCGTTGGGACCCCAGCTGCAGTAAGCGGTATGGTAAACTGACCTATGCAAACAGACGGGATCTGAGACTGTCCCCCGGAGATGTTCGCCTCATTGTTTTGTCCGGCGTTGCTGGAAGATGCCATTGCTATTGTTGTTGGTGGAAAAGGCTTTCCTGTAACGTTTCCCACAAATGATGCCAAATGATGTAGCATGATCTAACTGCTCCCCGCTGGAGGTGACCTGACTTCCAGTCAGATGACGGACAAGGAGATGATCAGAGAACCCGGGGTGGCTAACCCAGAGATGTCACTCCGATGCTTAAGTTAGTATACTTGTTTGCGAGCTGAAATAGTTTGAGAATATAGAGAGCTAGAGAGCAGAGAAATCACGCGTACCTTGTGCCCTCGGGGTTGGAGCCTTTAAATAGTGAAGTCCTCGCGGGTTCTGCAGAGCAATTCTGGGATCCTCATTACGACGAGATCCATTTCCGCGTTAATTGGGGGATAACGTTGCCAACTGATAAGGCTTATTTGTTCCACCCGAACCGGGCGGGGAGGAAGATAAGGCTTGCCGTTACGAGGCGTGATCCCGTAAGGTTTGGAATCTGATGGCGGGTTTTTGGGGTTGTCAAGCAGTGGTCTGAGTCGGTATGCTCAAACTGATGCTCTTCAGTCCCGAACTGGAGTGAACCCCAAAGTGCCTTGAGACCGAGGTGGTCCTGATGTGACCTTGTACCGAGGTGACCCATGCCGAGGTGGTTTGATTATCCGAGTTCGACCTGTTGCGGTCTTGGTATGTCAGGCTGAACTGTCATCTATTAGTTAGGTCGTGTTCATGTGTCCCCCTATTGGTAGGTCGGGCCAAATCACTCTTCATCATACCACATGGTACATGTTACAAGGCTAATCAAGATTAGGGGTGGAGACCAGTTGGGTGATGAAGAAGTGAGGCGTAAGCTTGACGACGATTGGAGACGAAATCGGATTTGGTCTTCACAAGACCGTCCGCACAATCCCTCCTAGTTGTGCATGGGAATATCTTCCCATCAAAAAACATACAGCGATGAAGATGTTCCCCGATGTACCGTTGTAAAAAGCTGTGAAGATGGGGTTAACTTTGGGTCAGCAGTAGAGTCCGGACCTCCTGCCCACGAGAATCTTCCCACGTTTCTCGCAGCCACACATGGAGAACATCTCATCTTCTGCATTTTGCAGGGGAAATGTTCCTAATTCACGGGGGTAGCGTGGGCAGAGTTTCTCGTGGATAGGAAACCGGAGTCCCAATAGCATAGGCTGTTGAGACAGTTTCTGGACTGGGCACGTTCTGGACAGTTTCTGGACTGGAAAAATCAAAGACGTATCTGGGAAAAATTATCAGGCCTTGTCAAAAAG